ACATACACACGTACATACATACAGTACTGGCCTGCACAACACACATGTGTTGTTGTTCACTGCCGCTAGGATCTTCTCACAATCTTCTTGTATTGATTCAAGCTAACGAACTAGGTATATCTATGATCAGGTGTGTCTCTGCATTCCCGGAACATTGCCGGAAGGTTAAGCAAAACTAAGGAAAACTAAGGAAAGCTACAGAAAGCTATATGAAGCTAAGGCTAGACAAAGCTAGGAAAAGCCACGACAAGCTAAGGAGTATGACTCACTCGAATCGGTGCAAAAACGCTGGAGATCGGAGTTGTTGGAGGAGGACCCCGGCGCAAGCTGCACAAGCTGCACACACAACCCACTTTAATGCACGAGGGCCTTACAGTAATTGCGACATTCCCATAATCCATTGCGCCAAGGTCGGTTTCACGTCTCAAAGACTCCGGCCTGCAGCGTTACCTTGCAGGAGGTGGGAGAGCAGGACCTCAGCTGCGCATGCGTACATGTGAATCTAAGCTGCCCCTGCGACCAGCATTGAAATCTCCGAGGCCGAGGTTCAGGCCGGAACATCTTCTGCAGTGTTTCAGCTGCGAAGTCACAAGTCTCAGCACGAAGGCGCACGACGATCTCCTCCAAAAGTGCCGCACAGCCGATTGAGTTGGCCCGCATCCGAAAGACATGCCAAAGCTTTCACGCACAAGAACTGTCCGACAACCATCGAAAGACAGTTGGCTGGCTGTCCTCAACCGTGGGTGCGTTAAAGCACCTGCATGGTACAGAGGCACCAATTATTGCATCCTACAGCAAGGCTACGTACAGCCTAAAGTGCACTCTCGATAACCTAGGCCGTCCATCTTACTGGCAGAAAGCCTCCCGACCGTGCCGGGCCTGTTGATCACAGAAAGATTCTCGGCGGAAAGTACTGGACTCTCGGATTGTGCTGATGAACCACCGCTTGTTTCCGCGATGATCTCCTTCAAGGGACAAGGGAGAGCTGATGTCCGTTTCTGTGCCTGTCTATGTGGGTGTACATGCGTATATACACATATTCGCATGCATACATACATACACACATGCGCACACATGCATACAGATATAGATGATGTGTATGTGTGTGTGTGTGTGTGCGTATGCCGTTGCTTGCGTTATTTTGTTAGCCTGTTTGTGCTTTTGTTTTTGTATTTGGCCTACATTTGTAGATATCTATACGCAATGTGCGTCACCTTGCCTGCATCTGAGTGTCCCTCTCCCAAGCATGAGACCGTGAGACAGATTGCAGCCAAAGCTTGTTTCACTGCCACGTCCTCACAGAGTTTCATTGCAGCCGCTCCCACAAGGCCAGCTCGGAACCTGCTTGCGAGGTTGAACCCACGGTGCCAGAGGCTCTGACACTCAAAAACATCCAAGAAGGTGCCAAGAGCCTGGAGAGAAGTTTGTTTCGGAGCTCGGGCAGGCCTTGGCTTGGACAGGCCGGGCTTGCGACTCAGGCGGCCCCACAAACCGAGTCTGAAGACTACCTCCTTTAACAAAACGCGGCTTCGGCTCGAGCCGACGGAACGTAGTGTGTTGCAACCTGGTCCCAAGCAAAGCCGCTGTTCTGGCAGAAGCTCGGGTTGTAGCGACTAGAGTCTCCAGTTCACGTAGGGTGCATGCAGGACATTCATCTGATTAATGTTTTCGGCCCCAGGTAACGCCCTCATTGTTTACCCCCGATCCCGACTGAGGTTCCAACTCCGGCTTCCAGGCAGTCCCAGGCGGAGATGTTGGTGCCAGTGATGCCCAGAAAAACTGAGACAAAGTAGAATACGGCATCCGAATGCAGCACGAGCATCTAGAGTGAGGGAACAGCATGGTCGAGTGCAGCTTACAAGGAACTGCTGCCGCAGTGTAGATGCTGTAGAACATATATACTGAAACACCTATATACACATATACATATATACATAAATATGCATATATGCATATGTACATATACTCATATATGAACATATACATACACACATATATGCATACATACACACATACAACATGCTTGCATACATACATACATACATACATACATACATACATACATACATATATACATATATACATACAACAAGTCATTCATCCATCCATCAGTCCATGCATGCACAAACAGTTACATACTTACATACTGCATACAGACCTGCTGCACGGGCACAAACCGACTGCATTTGCTCAACCGTGCTATAGTCATGCTTCCCATGCTTGCACGATTTGTCAATACAAAGCGCGAGACACAGTGTAATTAAGGGGCTGTTGCCCGAGGTCGATTCTGCCCGAAATCTTGCTCGGATGTACCATTTGCAATCCACACTGTCCTGCATCAGGGAATTGCTTGGAATCTCAGGGTTTTCTTACCAACGCGGACGAGGGACGGCCAACAGCAGGCCCCGCTTTGAGGCGGCTCAAGATCTGAGTCGCACCAACCTCAAGGCCAGGGAGAAGCTGCGGATTTCAGGATGCCCTTCACCCGCTTTACCCATCACCATTCTCCTACTGCATGGCTCTGAGTTGCGGAGTGAAGCGTTGATTTGAGGTTGCGAACTAAGTACTGATCTGTCACCAACTTGAGCTTTCACAGAAATCAGCATCTCAATCCGGACGAACGACTGTGGCCATCGGAAGACAACCTTCGGACACAAAGAATCGAAGACTGACTTTGAGTGTAAGATAGCATAAGCTACCCCCAATAAGCCGTCTTGAGGAACAGTGAACAGAAATTCCCACACACACACACGCACTCCAAGACTTTGCCTGCAACCACCGGAGCAGAATCCTAATTGTCCGGCCTCGTTCGCCACACTGCCAAATCCCCGAGCTCCAGGCATTTCACGAGAGGCAAGGCAAAAAGATCTCTGTTTTGCATTCAACCGCCAAGTAGCATCCGGGAAAAGGCCGATGGCCATCTCGGGCATGGCCTTAGATTTCCAAAAACCTGCCTTCTGTGCAGTAGTGAACATTTAACCTTGCAAACAGAACAAGGCTCCGGCGAATCGCGTCTTCTCCGTGACGATGCGAAAAGGGCCATGTGTGGATAGCCCCACACCACCACCCATCGTGATGCCATCGAAGAGGCTCATCTGGACACAGCCTGCAACGGCAAGTTCTACAGTTGCATGCTGGCGGCGAACGGTTACCCCTGCCTGTCCGTTCAAAGAGAGTCGCCAGTCTGAAAACGATCCCGTACCTTCAAGCTGCCGCAGGTACAGCCTTGCAAGCAATGAACCTTTTCCACCGAGCTGCTCCTCGAAAAAGAAGTCAGCAGGGAGCGAGCCACCAGCCAGACCCTCCTGGTTGACGGTCATCAGGGCTGGAAACACAGCTCCCAAAATTGTTATCCAGTTCTTACTTGTGAGTTGAGACGATGGATCTCTTCCACATTGGGCTTCATTGGGGCCCCACACGTCTCCTCCCGGATCATCTGTACATCCCCTCCGGCACAGAAAGCTTTGCCACCGGCTCCATCCATGATGAGGCATCCAACCTGGTAAAGGTGTCGCACGACTCGCATGCAGCAGGATAAGGCTTTGCAGCAGTGGACCAGAAGCCCCGCTGATTTGGTCGCGCCAACCATCACGCAGTAGTAGTAGCAGTAGCAGTACCCGCAGCGGCAGTCGTCGTCGGTATAGCAGAAGCTGTAAGGGGTGGCGGTGGTGGTGGTGGTGGTGGTGGCGGTGATGGTGGTGGTGGTGTTGGTGGCGGTGGTGGTGGTGGCGGTGGTGGTGGTGGTCGGTGGTGGTAGTAGCAGCAGCAGCAGCAGTAGCAGTAGTAGCAGTAGCAGTAGCAGCAGCAGCAGCAGCAGCAGCAGTAGTAGCAGCAGTAGCAGAAGTAGCAGTAACAGTAGGAGTGGCAGCAGTAGCAGTAACAGTACAAGTAGCAGTAGCAGTAGCAGTCGTAATAGTAGCAGTAGCAGCAGTAGTAGTAGAAATCAAAATAATGATAATCATAGTAGTAGCAGCAGCTGTTGTTCTTGCAGCAACGTTGTCAGCATGCGCGTGCCATGCCTTGCCAAGCTTCGCATCGACTTTGTCCACAGCTTCGTGGAGCCGGCGAATCCTGTTCGGCTACTCAGATGAATCCCAAAATACCGCACCAGGAAAATGTACTGCTGGCACGGCCCATAGGACTCAGTTCACTGCCGAGGCTGCGAAGCTGTTGTGCTACATGCTTTGATGCTGTGCTTTGCCTTGCAACGACAAGAGTCTCAAAGACAATGTGGGCACTTCAGCATTACTACGACAGCACGAGCTCGCACCTAGCTGAGCGAGCTAAGTGTGAAACCGACGAGCAATGATAGGATCTCGGCAAAACACAGCCGATGCAGAAAAGACACAGCAGTATCTTTGAATGGCCAAGTTGATCATTTAGAATCCACCCGAACCTTCGATGTCCAACCATCTGCGGGTGACCAAGCCTTTACAGACTTTAGAGGCTGTTGTAAACAGGCGAAATCCAATGAGTCTTCTGCCTGCCTTCCGTAACCCAAAGCCGCAAGTTATCAAATTGTCAGAGCCGACCAGGATTTCATGCCAGGGCTCATGTTAAGGTTAAGCGCATTCAACTTGTCCGGGCGATTCAAGGTGATCTCACAAGCGCCGTCGTCCGGTGAGAACTTCGTCCTGACGGTCGTGCAAACGGACAAAGACGGATGAAGCTGGAGCTGCATGGGCAAGTGGCAGGACTTCCGCCGCCATCTTCCGCCAGGCCGCGGGCTGAATCCATCAGGCAGCAAATTGCTCTGGCATGCTGATGTCAAGTTGACGTTCCATTTGGCAATGTCATCGTAGACATGGCACACGCCTGACACGACCTTTGAATCAGGACGATTGCCAATCGGCAAATTGAGTCCTACGCTGAAGCTGCGATCGGACTTAATCACGATGGAACTGCACTGCTGAACGATGGCTCGAGCCCCACTTGAGACTTGCAAGGGGTTAAACTTTAAACATTGCCGTCGACTGACCAGATGCACGAAGCCCTCCCACGACCGAGACAGCACTGAAACCCGCTCCACCGCTTGAGCAGGACCACGGGAGCATGGGCCTTGACCTGCCAAGGACAGGCTGCCAGTTGCTGGAACCGGAAGCCATGCGAAATGCTACAAGACTTCCTCTCACGAGGCTCGTGCCAGATCACAGAGGCTAAGGTTCGTCAGCCCGGCAAGGCCTCAACAGCTGAGATGTTTGAAAAAGCTAAAAGCAGGCTTCGGGCGGCTTCGAGGGCGCGAGACAGTGCCGTCACTTCCAAGCAGCTCGTCAGGGAGTCTCAGCACGCCACGCTCAACCGGTTGTCCAGGAACCGCGTTCTGCAAATGCAACAGAAGGTGTGATGACTCCCAGTTTACTCCGTTTCGCGCTATCGCAGTCTACTCCCCCTCACTCCACTCTACACTGACTCTACACTACGCTCGCACTCTCACCCACCTCTGCTCCCAATGTTCCCACTCTCACTGCATTCAAGCTCCGATGACAATGGAGAACACGGTGCAACCCATGTAACCGTTGCTCTACAACATACCGCTTTCTTCCCTCATGCACCTACTACAATTTGGAAAACATGTTGCATTCCACTCTCTCTCATGCTTGCCGACATCGAGGGAAAGATCGTGTGCCACATTCAATTCTGCTCTCTGGACTCCTCCTGATCCGTTTTCAGAGCGCCATCCAACTTGACCTCGCCGGAGCTGCGGTGCACTGCCATGCAGAAGAGCTGAGCTCCCGAAGATGTTTCTGATCTCATAACCAACATGTGGCTTCAAAAGCCAAGCCCGCAGCCCAAACTCCTGCAACACAACAGAGCTTCCGTCACGTCAGGCAAAAAGCGAGCACTTGCAAGAATTCACAACAAGTTCGCGAGATCTCTGCTCCTTGGCTGGTGCCCGTAGCCATCTCCATCCAACCGTCTGGTCTGCCCTCAACGAAGCCTCTGCGACTTCACCGAGTTGGCATTCGCATTTTTCACACTCCCTAAATAGCTTCACTCGCCTCGCAGAACTGTGTCCCTTGGCACAGATCCCACGCGCTTCGAGGGATCCTGGTACGTCAAAGCTACAGATCGCACCGACAAGCTCCAGGAACTCTCCAAGTCACGTGCCAGCCCTACAGCTACACGGGTGCCTCATCCGGCTCGCGATAAAGGAAAGTGCCCGTGGTGTCTACAACCCGCACGAACCTGGCAATGGTCGCATGGTCTCTCTTTCAAACTCTGCGCTTTCAATGTGTCCCTTTCTGCACTCGTGTAGTCATCTGCCCAGAGCTGAGCGCAGGCCGGTGGCTTACCAGGCTTGTTTGTTACAACATGTCCGGCAGACACACCCTCTGGCACTGCTCGCTCCTCCTCGTCCTCGTCGTCTGACAAACCTCAGTTGAAACTCAACTTGCATTCAACTCATGGAGCTTCACGCTCTCATGAATGTTGTGCTTCTTTCACGATGAGTTCGACTCAAGCTAATGTCGAATTCACAACACTAACCCTCTCCGATTGTCAGAGCAGGCACACACTTGGACGTTGACCAGCTCACTCTCACGAACAGGCGCAGACATGCACAAATAACTCACTCCGACACTCCATCCCTCGTTCTGAGAAAGTCAGGTAGTCACGCACTTACTCGCTGACTTACTCACTCTTGTCCTCACTGGCCCTCACACTCACACCCGAAAGAAATTTGATGCATCTGCCTTTCGACATCTGCTCTTTCTGCACTTGCGGCATTCTGCTTTCTTTCTGTCAAGTGTAGCCAATTATAGCCAGAGCAGTCGTGGGTAGCATGACGGCTACGGGGCGGCCACTATCGGTCACTATCCAGGTCTCTCAGCGCAGCTTCGGACTCAGAGATTTCAAGAGGGCTTGGTGTCCACAGCGGCGCCCAGCCGAGGCACCACCGTCGCCGGCCTTGGGCTCCTTGGGCTCCGAGGGCTCCTTGGGCTCCGACGGCTCCGAGGTCCGGAAAGCACAAGGCCCTGGAATCCCATTTTCCGCCCTCTGTGCCTTCGCGGTGTTTTCAGGGACTGAGACCTCCGAGACAGACTCCGGTTCTTTGCTGTCGACCTTCTTGGCCTCTCGCTTTTGCCTGGCTATGCACGCGGCTGCACCATGCGCTGATCCGGCCACTTTGCTGCCGAGGGCTGGGGTCAGGGCATTTGCTGTTCTCTGGATGCTGGCTCTTCCTCCTCCTCTGAGTCAGACTCCTGTTCCTGCACATATCAGCTGTCCGACCCACTCCGCCCTGCGAACACCGCCGGCAGACTGCAGAGCAAGCCCTGTCCTGATCCAATCCCAACATGAGCTCCTCGAAGAGGGTCCGAATCTCTGCATCCTGTCGGCAGGCGGAAGCTGCGAGCGCATGCCCAGACTGCATTTTGTGTGTGTGTGGGGTTGTGTGCCTGTATCAGGACATCATGGAGATAGATACATAGATAGATAAATAGATAGATGGATGGATGGGTAAGTAGATTTTGACTTTGACTTTGACGACGCAGCATCCATTGGACATCCATAGGCATTGTGCGATAAGTAGCAGCTCAAAACATGACGACTGTAGCCACAACGCTTGGCAATAGATAGAAGGGTTGGTTGATTGTAAAGATATATGTATATACATATATGATTGTGCATATATAGTGAGTGTATATATTTATTTATTTATATGTAAGAGAAACCTGTATGTAGTATGTGATGGGTCTGTTTGTTGTTACTTGACGCCTTCATTTTTTAGATCTTTTTGATAAATTTTTGGGATTTTTTAAGATTTGAAAAATCCCAAAAATTCTAAAAATTCTAAAAAAGCAACTGCCTTTTGGGGCCGCCGGTATGTTTAGAAGTTTTAAGAATTTTCAAAATCCTAAAAAGGTAAAAATTCTAAACATGGTCTCCTTGCGGCCTTCAATTTTAGAATTTTTTGAATTTCCGGAAATTTTTAAAGTTTTAAAAATCCCAAAAGTTCTATAAATTCTAAAAAAACAAATGCTTTTTAGGTCCGCCGATATGTTTAGAATTTTACAAAAAAATTTTAATCCTAAAAATTTAAAAATTCTAAAAATGGTCTCCTTGCGGCCTTCATTTTTTTTTAATGTTTTAGCATTTTCGGCTTTCTTCAAATTTTGAAAATCCCAAGAAATCTAAAAATTCTAAAAAAGCAACTGCCTTTTGGGGCCGCCGGTATGTTTAGAAGTTTTAAGAATTTTCAAAATCCTAAAAAGGTAAAAATTCTAAACATGGTCTCCTTGCGGCCTTCATTTAGTTTTTTAGAATTTTCGGCTTTTTTAGAGTTTGAAAAATTCCAAAAATTCCAAACATTTTAAAAAGCCAAGCTTACTGGGGGCTGTAATTTTCAGAATTGTTAAAAATTTTAGAAGTTTTGGAATTTTCAGAAATTCTAAAAATCCTGGGTCTCTCTGCGCCTTTCTGATACCGTCATTTTTTAGAATTTTTGGAATTTTCGGTTTTTTTAATTTTCAACATCCCAGAAATTCTAAAACTTCTAAAAATGGTCTCCTTGCGGCCCTCTTTTTTTGTTTTGGAATTTCCGCTTTTTTTAAATTGCGAAAATATCCTAGCTTCCTGGGGCCGCTTTTTGTAAATTGTAAACATCCCAAAATTTTTAAAAATTCTGAAAATCTAAGCTGTTTAGAGGGAAAATCCAAAAATCCTGTGGTCCATCTGCGCCTCTCTGAGGCCTTCTTTTTTCAGGTTTTTTGCAATTTTTAACTTGTTCAGGAATTTTAATTTTTTTTGAAATGATAGGAATTTTTGAAATTTCCGGTTCCTTGGTCACTACTTTTCCAAATGATTTAAGGATTTTAGGAATTCTGGCCTTTTACGCGACATTTCTAAATTCCTAAAATCCTAATTTTTTGGGGTTTTAGGAATTTAGAAATGCTCTCTTCCATCTTCTGAACAGGAAGAGAAAAATAGTCAGGAGCTC